GAAGGGGAATAATCGGTGGAGGTTTTTGAGTCTGAAATTCTCAGCTGGTTGCTTACACAGGACACTATATAGATTGGTCATAGACTAAACTCTTATTCTTATAAGATAAAGGAAGATTATAGAATCTGTAGAAGTTAACTCAACAGCAAAGAACCCGAATAGAAGGATCAAGTTCAGGAGATTGAGTGAGATTGATTAACATTAAAACCAGTGAGGATGCAGGAAGTGCCGTGATCAACAAATGTTTAATCTTGGTTATTAAGCCTACTTTGTTTAGAATTTTGCCAAACTGCGGCATCATCATGCTAGTGTGCAGATAAGTTTCGTCAGCGTCTGTACATCAGCCGGTCTGTTGCCACTACCACAAAATATTAGCACCCTACACCTTCAAAAGAGAGCACCATTTGCCATTTCGTAACCACCCTGTCCCACTTCCTCCAAGCTACCAAGTTGCCCCTCCATTGTCAGAAACACATGGTGCCCATAATTGAGAGGATGCTCCAAAGTGGCGGATGGACTGGAGAAAAATGCAAACCATAGATGCGACTTCCAAGCATCTCGTGGAGCCAGGCCAGACTCCGGCCGATACAGGTAATCAGATGAATAGGAAATCTTAGCTTCTTGCATAAGAATTCTTTGAAATGTATTCAAAGTATTTCGTTGAAGGTGACGAAGGACTAATAAATGAATTTTTTCCACAATGACACGAGTAGGCCTTACGTTTCCACTACATCTCAGCAAACCTTCCTTCCAAAAAGTTATTCTTATCCAGGATGGAAGGTCGCATCATTATCCTTGGCGGGCTTCGAACACTTGTAATCCAACGTAAAGTTTTGAAATTTTCATCACTCTATCACCCTATGAAGTCTAAGGAAGGCCAGGCCATTCCTCATATCATATTCACTTTACTTACATACGAAAAAAGAGTTTGGTAGGCGATTGTTATAGCAAAAAGACGTTTGCTTAATCGACAATCCCACTAAAGTATGTGATATGGGAAAAGGCCTGGCATTCCTTAAAATTCACATATGCCCTGTGACCCAAAGACATTCGTGGTAATGTGGCCGAGTGGTTAACGTGTCAAGTTCACATTCTGCACTGTCATGGTTCGACTCCCGCTTGGGGTGTTGATAAGACCGATGCGAGGTCAAAACTGCAGTCCACTGGTGCCTGGATGAGGACAACTTTTAGGAAAGCAAGGCTATGTGAAATTCAATGGAATCATCAGCTCTATTCATATCATTGTGGGAAAATTCTACTACCAGTCCTTGATCACTTTAAACGAAATAGGGTAAACATATTTTAGATACGAAGAGAAACTTGGTTTCGATGAATCTCCTGAGATAACATTGTTAGGGGGAACT